AACACTAAATCTAGTATGGCCTCTTTACGAGTTTGCTCCTCAACGACTTGTTTTAGAGACAATCCCAGTAGGGAGTTTAGAATATGTGTGCTCCTGGCACAAGCAGCTATTTTGGTTTTCCAATTCACATCAGGAAGATTAAAGTCACCCATGATGATAATTTCCCCCTTCATTGTAATTTTAGCTATTTCCTCAACTAGTAGATTATCTAACTCTTCAATTTGTCCTGGGGGCCTATAAATCACACCTACACGAGTTACTGTGTGATTACCAAATTCTAACGTAACCCAAACGGACTCTATGTTCACCTCACTAACTTTTATTAGGCTAGATTTTCTGCTATCCTTCACATACAGGGCCCCCCCTACCCCTTTCTTGCCTTTTTCTATATAAAGAGTACCCTGGTATTGCTATGTCCCAGTCATTTTTCTCATTATACCATGTCTCAGTAACAGCGACTAAATCTACACTATCATTTGCCATTATTGCCACAAGTTCATGGATCTCATTCACTAAACTGCGAGCATTTGTAGACATGACTCTAAGCTTATCATTTTTAAACACACTTGCTACAGGCACCTTTTGTCCTTGTTTTGGGGGGCAATTGGATTGATGTTTGATCACCCTTTTGCCCACCCTCCTAGTTTAAATACATCCTAGCAAAACCTCTGAACTGCTCACTGAGAACATTTGTTCCCTTTTGAGAAAGATGCAAACCATCTTTTTTGTACAGTTTATTTCCATTCCAAGCAGAGCTACCATGAGAAATAAAGCCAATTCCTTGCTCCTGACACCATTCACCAAGCCACAAGTTAAAGTCCCTAATACGCATCCGCCTGTTGTTCTGAGTGTTATGCACAGGCAGAACTTCAGAGAATGACAGTGTGGAAGCAACCTGCCATATATCATTGGCAAAAACACTAAAAACTTCCTTAACCTCTGAAACCTCATTGCAAGCCAAGTCATTTGTCCCTAGATGGACAAGTACATAAAATTCCCCTTCCTGCTTTGCTCGCTTAACAATATTACCAATTCGTCTCCTGTCTCTGTGAGCAGTAGTTCCGGGAAGACATCTCACAAGACCACCATTGTCCATCTCCACACCTCTTATGATGGAATCCCCCAACAACAACTTCTTTCTATTAGGCCTCACCATAGTCTCCAAGTCTGTCTCCACAACACCACTACCCTCAGTGCCTGAGCCTGTCTCCACAACCCCATGCACCTTTTCCTTTTATACGGAGTTCTTTGCCTGTTATGACAACTTTTAGAATGTACTGAAGTAGGCTGCGTCTGCCATATGAATCAATCCAAATAAAGTTGTATTAGTTATTTGCCCTATTCTTATACAATGTTTAAATATATCACTTTAAGATAATGACTAAGAAAATGTTATCGGGTTTAATCCCTGTGACACAGTATATTTCATTACATTCTAAGAGTTGTCATAACTAACAGACTAAGCAGGAGATATCTATGTACAGTGGGTGGGTGTGGGGCGATACATGGATAGGATCTCTCTGACTGCTGCTATAACAGAGTACAAAGGCTGCTGACACAGATCAGGAGGTAAGGTGTCTGCTCTGTTGAAAGGAAGATCCAGTCATCTCCACACCCTGTTCACCCTAGACCCTAGCTCTGTCTTAACCATGATATTAATGCATAGGTAATGGAAATGCACTCAATCCCTCGTCCTAGAATCCTGGGTGCAATAGAAGCTGGATAAGCCCCAGTACCAAAGGGACCAAATAACAGATTTAAATGTAGAAAATAATCCAGGCACTCCAAGGTATTACAACAGATAGGCAATTTTATTGGACCCAAGCAGCAAAATAAACAACATTTCGACCCCGTAGGGCCTTTGTCAAGCTACTGAAACACACAACTTACATACAATATATAAGTGTATATAACAATAACAAGTGAAAAAACATGTGAAATGTTACAATTACTTAATTACATAATCACTCATTAATCATGAAAGCAGTGTCAGAACATAATCATCTCTCCAACGATAGTCTCACATATTAGGAGTGTCACACCATGCAATGGAACTCCACCAATCAAATAAGAAGGTTCATTAAATACTTAACTAGATGATAATTAAAAGAGATTTGTTTAAATAAGATTAAACAATTTAAATAAATTGCGCCAAGTATAGATAAACACTTACATTTCCGGATCGGCTGTGTAAATCAAGTCACATGATTACATTTGACATGGCACACATTAAGTATGAAGTGATTAAACTGATTAAAAAGATTAGTATATGTACATATTGTTATTTGTGATAATATAAGATATGTTACCCATTGTACTGTTGTATCAATGTAACAAGTTACAGATGTATTATGATCTATAAATAAATCTTAGGTAATTAAATTTTGTACATTTTATCCATCAATGAGGTTGTCACACTGCAATGGTATTTAGGTCCTTCTGACTTAGCTAATGCTTCCTTTATTGGATATAATGAAAATATAATTGTCAAATATTTGGGGTTAGTTATTTAGTTGTTGCTTATCTTTCAATTGTATTCAGGTGCGTTTTGGGCATGCGCTATTGTAAGCATGCGCATTGGCTTTTTGCCCCCGTCCCCTTGTTAACTTAATCTTGACGGAGGTTTAACTGTTCAACAGCGCATGCACATTAATAACTTTAGTCCAGCGCGACCATGTGATCGGCGCAACGGGACGTGCGTGTCACGTCAAATGTAATCATGTGACTTGATTCACACAGCCGTTTCGGAAATGTAAGTGTTTATTTATACTTGACGCTTCCAATTTATTTAAATTGGTTAATCTTATTTAAACAAATCTCTTTTAATTATCATCTAGTTAAGTAGTATTTAATGAACCTTCTTATTTGATCGGTGGAGTTCCATTGCATGGTGTGACACCCCTAATATGTGAGATTATCATTGGAGAGATGATTATGTTCTGACACTGCTTTCATGATTAATGAGTGATTATGTAATTAACTAATTGTAACATTTCACATGTTTTTTCACTTGTTAATTGTTATATACACTTGAGCGGACACCTGGATGTTCGGGTCCGACGAGTTCGGCCGAACTTTGAAAAAAAGTCCGGGTTCGGGATCAAACTTGACCCTGAACTTGACCCTGAACTTGACCCCGAACCCGAACCCCATTGAAGTCAATGGGGACCCGAACTTCTGGGCACAAAAATGCCTCTAAAAAAGTCCTGGAAAGGGCTAGAGGGCTGCAAAAGGAAGTAAAAAAAAATGTGGATAGGGAAATCACTTAAAATAACAGAAAAATTTAAAATACAGCTGAGCCATAAAATAGCACTAGATGGAATCTTTGATTTTAGCTTTAGAAGAACATAAATCAAAATCTAAAGCATGGCTGTCAGGAGGATCAGCAGAATTATCCATTTGAGAGAGGGTTGGAGTGCAGGGTATTAACTTTCATTGTTCAAACTGAGCTCAACTCCTGATGCATGGAGAAAAGGCCTTCACAAGCCTCTGCTATTGTGTACATAGTTTATACTAGGTGACCCATAGGTTGAGGAGGCGGTGACCGTGGCGGTGTAGGTGGAATCAGCGGTGGAGGAGGAGGAGGTAGCCAACACTGTTTTTTATATATATATATTTTTTAATTGGGGTAGCCCCCAAAATATTGGGACATATAAAAAAAAGAAACATTTGCGGCCTGCGGTGCATTTCTTGCAGTTCTGATGCATGGAGAAATGCTCAACTCCTGATGCATGGAGAAAAGGCCTTCACAAGCCTCTGCTATTGTGTACATAGTTTATAGTAAGTGACCCATAGGTTGAGGAGGCGGTGACCGTGGCGGTGTAGGTGGAAGTGGCGCGGGAGGAGGAGGAAGTAGCGAACACTGTTTTTTATATGTATATATATTTTTTAATTGTGGTAGCTCCCAAAATATTGGGACATATAAAAAAAGAAACATTTGCGGCCTGCGGTGCATTTCATGCAGTCCTGATTCATGGAGAAATACTCAACTCCTGATGCATGGAGAAAAGGCCTTCACAAGCCTCTGCTATTGTGTACATAGTTTATACTAAGTGACCCATAGGTGACCGTGGCGGTGTAGGTGGAAGCAGCGGTGGAGGAGGAGGAGGAAGCCAACACTGTTTTTTATATATATATATATATATTTTAATTGGGGTAGCCCCCAAAATACTGGGACATATAAAAAAAGAAAACTCCGTACCGCAGAGCGACTGACCCGTGCATGCTGCAGCTGAAACTCCATTATCGCCTGCTGCTGCCAGTCTCATGAGGCGGTGAGCGGAAGGGCTGAAGTTATGCTGCAGCACAGACAGACGAGAAGCAGCAGGGTGAGAACGCCAAAAGCATGCACAGCCAACCCGCACTTTCTGCAGCAGCACTGATATATCTGTGTAGTTTTTCATCTGCAACACCGAATTCAGCACATGCGCACGTGCTTCAAACCAGCGAGGCCCAGAGCTGCTATGAGATTTCACCCATTTTCGCACACCACCAGGCCGGTCTTGAGGTCACCATCCTGGCCAACAAACTAGTAGGGGAGGCAACGGATATTTACCGGGCTGTACGAGAAGAGCAGATCAGAGGCTATCCCTTTAATACCCAAATCCTCCTGTATGCGGTCACACCCGAGCAATACCGCCGAAAGTTTAGGGAGACCCAGAAAGGGGAGAAGGACTCCCATGCGGAGTAGGCATGCCGCATCACAAGGGCCACCCAGAACTGGCTCAACTCCCATCAAGCCAAGTTCCCGGAGGAGATCACCCAGCTCGTCATGCTAGAGCACTTTTTCAATGGGCTCCCCAAAGACAAGGCGACGGCGCATTCGTATGTCATCCATATCAACTTTCGATGCCATTTACTGCGCCTACCATGGTGACCACGGGTAACGGGAAATCAGGGTTCGATTCCAGAGAGGGAGCCTGAGAAACTGCTACCACATGCAAGGAAGGCAGCGGGCGTGCAAATGACTCACTCCCGACGCAGGAAGGTAGTGACAACAAATAACAATACAGGACTCTTTAGAGGCCCTGTAATTGTAATGAGTCCACTTGAAATCCTTTAACTCTGATCAATTGGAGGGCAAGTCTGGTGAATGGCGACTGACCCGTGCGTGCTGCAGCTGAAACTCCACTATCGCCTCCTGCTGCTCGCACAGTCTCTCCAGCATGTGAAAGGTGGAGTTTTACCTTGTGGGCACGTCGCATATGAGGCGGTGAGCGGGAAGGCCAAAGTTATGCTGCAGCGCAGACAGGCGAGCAGCAGCAGGGTGAGAACGCGCACAGCCGCTACAGTGAATGTCACATCCTGTTCCAAGTTGCAGATCAGTCTGGTGATAGCTTCTGGTATCCAGTACTCTTTTTACTGAAGCTGCATCAGGGTCCTGGTATGTGGCCACACAAACACTGGTGCTCAACATCAGGGGGCGTGCGGTTACCCTGCACCACACCCTGCTAATCCATTCCACACTGTGACTCCTAACTTCAACATCAGGCATACTGGGTCCCAGTCGTCCGAACGACGCCCAGACAGACTGCGAAACTGCGAATGGCTCATTAGATCTGTTATGGTTCTTTTTATCGCTTCAATTGTTACTTGGATAACTGTGGGAATTCTAAAGATAATACATTCCGACGAGCGATAGGGGACGGCCGCTCCGCTTTTGAACCCTGCTCCCTCTTATGCTGTGCTGGTGCCTCTGTGCGACCAGCGCCTCTTCCTCCAAACTGCACACGTCACTCGCATGACCTTTATTCCATGTGGGGTCTAGGACTTCATCATCCTCCACATCATCTTCCACCCACTCCTCAACCCTGCCCTCCTTGCCGGTCTGCACACTGCAGAAAGCCACAGCAGTTGGCACCTGTGTTTTTCCAGCATGTTAAGTCTGCAAAGGACACATGGAAATTGTTTTAGAATTGTATTCAGGCAACAGTTTTACCTATAAACTGACCTCTCAGTTTGACTTGTGAGGGTATTGCCCCCAATTACAATATTGTTATATTGGTATTTGACGGTTCTATTTGATTGTCAGATATGAAGTGCAGGCCTGCAAATGTATTATTTAGCACCCCAAAAATTTGAATTGGTCAAACTGCACTGCAACCACAGTATTTGACGGTTGTATTTGACTCTCAGATATGAAGAGCACGCCCCAAATGTACTTCTTAGGAGCAAAAAAATGGGAATTTGTCAAAGTGCGCTGTAAACACAGTATTTGACGCCTCTATTTGACTCTCAGATATGAAGTGCAGGCATCAAATTGACTTTTTAGCACCTAGAGAATTTGAATTTTTACAACTGCAATGTAAGCACAATATTTGACGGTTCTATTTGACTCTCACATATGAAGTGCACCTCAGGCCGCATATGTACTATTTAGCAGCCAAAAAATTTGAATGTTTAAAAATGCTATGTCACTGCACTATTTGACGGTTCTATTTTACTCTCAGATATGAAGAGCACGCCCCAAATTTACTATTAAGCATATTAGCACCCAGAAAATAAGAATGTTTACAATTGCGCTGTAACCGCAGTATTTAACGCTGCTATTTGACTCTCAGATATGAAGAGCACGCTCCAAATGTACTTCTTAGGAGAAAAAAATGGAAATTTGTCAAAGTGTGCTGTAAACACAGTAATTGACGCTTCTATTTGACTCTCAGATATGAAGAGCACGCCCCAAATATACTATTTAGCAGATTAGCACTCAGAAAATAAGAATGTTTCAAACTGCGCTGTAAACGCAGTATTTGACGCTTCTATTTGACTCTCAGATATGAAGAGCACGCCCCAAATTTACTATTTAGCAGATTAGCACCCAGAAAATAAGACTGTTTACAATTGCGCTGTAACCGCACTATTTGACGCTTCTATTTGACTCTCAGATATGAAGAGCATGCCCCAAATTTACTATTTAGCAGATTAGAACCCAGAAAATAAGAATGTTTCAAACTGCGCTGTAAGCACAGTATTTGACGCTTCTGTTTGACTCTCAGATATGAAGAGCACGCCCAAAATTTACTATTTAGCAGTTTAGCACCAAAACAATTAGAAATTTTACAACTGCACTGTAACCGCAGTATTTAACGCTTCTATTTGACTCTCAGATATGAAGTGCACCCCACTAATGTACTTTTTAGCACCAAAAGTTTTTTACTTTTTAAAACTCCGATGTAACTGCAGTATTTGACGCTTCTATTTGACTCTCAGATATGAAGTGTACCCCACTAATGTAGTAGTTCGCAGAATTCTTTCCTTTATCTGTCCCTAACAGCTGCAGCATCCTCTCCCTACACTAATAAGAGCTCATGTGCTTGCGGCGCTACGCGACTCCAGCTTATATATAGAGGCTGGGTTACATGCTGCACTGGCCAGTCACAGCCATGCCATAAGTAGGCATGGCTGTGATGGCTTCTAAGGGCACATGAGTCAAACGCTTGTTGATTGGCTGCCCTGCAGCCTTTTAAAATGCGCCATTAAATCGCCGAACACCGAACTCCAACCCGAACATACAGTGATATGTCCGTGTTAGGGTACGGGGTCCAAAAAACTTAATGTTCGGTATGAACCCAAACTTTACAGTCCGGATTCGCTCAACTCCAATCATGATCACTAACTACGTTTTATTGAATGTACACGAATGTATTCACCTTCCCTATCCAGCCTTACAATTTTTATTTCCATTCACAAACAGTACTCCACCTCTACAGAAGTCAACAAAGCAACCTGTTTCAAGAAGTCAATTACAGCTCTCTACCCTCACACTATACAATAATCTTACACACGCACACATATCATCTCCCCTTACTGTGAAAGTTGCATTACATTTTTAAAACAAAATAAAAATAGAAAAATATGTATATATTTGCATATATCAAAAATGCACAGTTCTTGGCAATAATATGTGTATTTATGTTGGTGCATTTTTTTCATATGTCTATTGTTTTCAAAGCAAAAGAATATTCACTATCCCTGTATGATCGGTAAAGATAAAATAAAACTTTAGGAAAATGGGAAGAATGAGTGAAAAATACCTTACACATACAGGTATGAGCAAATAATTTAAATAAAATCTATTGGTAAACAAAAAGTAAAGTGCAGAGTGTAGGTTTCTCTGAGACAGTTTCCAGCATTTGATGAAATTATTGCCAAATAGCTCCTAACGCTTCATCCAATTTCCTCACTTACCAGATAGAACGTTAACACCTGCTTAGTAGCAAGAGTAACAGATGGTTAACACCTGGAACTGAAGGCCTGACAATAAATTGTTTCACTTGAATTCTCATTGTCATATTGCTAGAAGCATTGTTGCCCTGATTGGATCTGTGTCTGTTCTGCATTCAGATTTTGTGGGTAAAAATCCCTTATGACACATCTTGCAGTTGAACAATCAATAAGAATTAATGTAATAATAATAATACATTTTGAAGTACTAAATGCAAACGTAACAATGTTTTTTCTTTTCATATTTTAACTTTTTTACACCTGTGCTATATACTTGAACACAAGCCAATGTTTTTTTTTTTTCCACATTACACCAATTATAATGGCTAGAGACTAAAATAACCAATCTTATGTGCACATATTTTCTTAAATGTTATTTAGATAACAATTAATTGAGATGCTGAGGTAAGAACTATGTATAGGGAATTTGTTTGATCACAAAAAAATTATAGAAATCTGCAATATCTAGTGCTTAAAAACAGCGAAATATTTCTGCATATGTGTAGCTACTAGTAGGATGAATGACATGTATCTTTCTATAAAAAAGGAAAAATAGTTGTTATGCATCACCTGCATATCTTAAGTTTGACTTTTGAAAGTCCTCCATGGGCACAGAAACTTAAAAAATCATCATGCTAGGGTATTTTTTGGTATGCCCAAATGTTTCCCTGAATAGTTTTCCATGGACTGATATTTAGCCAAACAGTCACATTGTTGAGCGCCGGACGTCCTGAACAAAATAAAAATTTTGGGAACAATCCCGTTATGCATAAGTCTATAAACTACCATGATAACTGTCTACAAAGAGCTGGATGAGAAATATTAATGTTGAATTATTTAGGTGAATTGTGCTTTCTTTAGTATTTTCCTGCACAGTACATCTTTCTATGTGAGTTACTAAACCACGTCTAAGGGAAAGACATTGATAATTACTGGAGAAGGCAGAAGCCACGATCACATCCAGGTTCACTTGTAATATATGTGAATTGTCTGCCATAAGACCAAAATCATCATTCTAACAGTAGGATGAACTTATCTCAGTCTGCTACAAATCTTAGATATAATGTATGCAGAAACCTAGTAAATTCAATAACAAGGTCAGTTTCTATAAGTTAACAGGGCAAACAAAACAACACAATACTGTCCTTAGTGTTCTAAAGCTTCTTTGATAACGCAAGTCTAGACTAGCTGGAACAATGGGACGCAGATAGGACTGAAAAATAAAATGTTCTCTAATTGTAACTGAACATATGTTACACATGCATATGCAAAATATTCTAGACATCAACCTCAAAGGGTTAATTAGGTCTCTAACTCTAGCAGGAAAACATAATATTACTGTTCAGACTTTGATAAAGACTGCCAGCTGTTTAGGATAGCTAATTAAATCTCTGCGGATTAAGCTTGAGTGCTACATCAAGGTGATTTAATTTAGTATGAGGCGTCTTTAAAAACAAAATCATTTAAAATCAATTAATACTACAATTCCAATAACAAAATAGATTAGTCAACTACCTACAGTTGTTCAAGACTATAATTGTTGTCTATTAGAACTGTCTGTTTATTTAAATTAATGTGATATATACAGATAGAAATATATTTTATCCACACAACTAGCAGAGTATTCATTAACAAAAAACATTCTCATTCTATCTGTAGGAGCATTAATTAATGCACGTACATTTGTCACAATTATTATTAGATTCAAGTAAGTAAGAATGGACTTTCTTTTGGATTATTGGTCATGTGTTATAAATACAGATATGAATTAGTTGCCATTAGGGATGACTTTCACTTGAAAAGACTCCAATGAAATTGTATATACGACTTTATGATGCTGAATGAGGTATTTGATGTAAGGAAGCCTCCCTAATAAGCCTTTGCAGTTAAATTACAACTGACACATTT